TCTTGTTTTAAGTAAAAACATGCAAGATAAGATTCTGCATAATGCTTTAATAACTTAGCAGTTTATAAAGCTTCAGAAAAAGATTTTAAATAAAATTGTAAGTCTTGTGGTCATTCATTAACACTTAGCTGATAGCTCTCAGCAAGCTTTTAAACTTGTCACTTTTGAGCTCTTTCATTGACTGTTTAAAGAAGGCTAGCAGTTAGAGTGAATTTAGAGCCAAGTTCCATTTTAGGAATAAGAATTTATTTTTGGACAAAATTGTGTAATAAAAACACCAGGATCATGTAGAGCAGGTTAATACAAACATTTTAAGGCCAAAATGACAAGGCTCACAGAGAGAGAGGTGACAGTTATTCAATGTTATGTCAATTGGAGTCAGAGTCGATGGAGCCAGAAGCACCCCCATGTTCACCTCCTGTTTGGAATGCATCAGCCAGCGGGTTAGCTATGTCCATTTATATACAATCTACAAGCTCCATTTGATGTATTTGAGCTGCTGTATTTGCCCTGTCTAGCAATAGTAAAATAAAAACAAAAACTTCAGCAAACAAGGCTGCAATTCCATATAGATAGATTAGAGTTCAGAGTGTGTATTTTAAACACAAGTACATAAACATTTGAAAGATTTAACAACTGCCAGACTACAATATTAGCTGTTTTTCCTCCATAAAATCTTGTTGTGGAAGGGGACATCTGTTACATAAATAATTACAGCCTCTGATAATTGCACCCTCAAAATAGCAGGAGCAATATCAGGAGGTGGCCGCACCCATTCAGAAAGTACATTTACAGTCAGTGATATCATTATTGTACTTTAATTGTAACCGTTCTTTTGGCTGATAGTAATTCAGCATTTGTTTACTCTATGAATAAATGGTAGGAGTGTCATTAAAATTCACTTCAGCTCAATCGGGTTTACACAACATGAGCAAATCTTTAAGACATTAGATAATTCCATGCAGCCATATAATTGCCTATTTTTAAGGAAAAAACTGTGGTGGAAGAAGTTTTGTTACTTAAGTAAAAGTGCAGATACTGCAGCAAATAAATACTCCAGTAAAAGTAAAGGTATCACATTAAAACATCAAGTTAAGTAAAAGTAGTAAAGTACCCATGTGCATATTTTGAGATCTAATAAAACTTAAAATTTACTGATTTTGATAAAGCTCTATGCTGAATTTTGTTCAACAGAAACAAATGACTCATTTTTTTTCCTTGGCTGTCTTTCTTTGTAATGGGTTACAAAATATGTGTTAAAAAATAAACCCCTAGCCTTTTGAGCAGATCTCACACAATAATAATAATAATAAGAAGAAGAATAAATACTTATACTTTTCAGTCCTGTTCAAAAATGTATTAGAGTAGAAAGTGCAGATAGCTGCTCTATAATGTAGTGAAGTAAGGGTAAAAAAGTGCCCACTTTAAGACTGACTTAAGTAAAGTACAGATTTTTTTTTTTTATTTAAAGGTGCATTATGTAACTTTTCTGGTGGAGTGTCCACCGCTTGCTTGTCTCCATGGAGATATTACAGCATTACCTTTATTATTCCACAGTATGGAAATAAACTTGGTATTCCCAGTGGAGACAGGTTAAAGATCAGATCTATGGAGAAGCAAGCCTGCATATTGTAATAATTCAAACAAATGCAAGGGAGATATGTTTAATACTCCACTGTGGAACATTCTAGGCAAAGAAATAGAGAGAGACAGTAGAGACAATCAAGTAGCACACCCTCTACCTTAGAAGTTACACAGTGCACCTTTAAGTACAGTACTTTACTACTTTTATTTTGTTATGTTCCACCACTGGGAAAAAGTGGCATTGCCAACACAAAACTTTACATTACATTGCCAACACAAAACATTACTGTCACACAAGATTAAATAACCCCAGATCATTTTAGCTGGCGTTTAGCTTAGTCAACAACTCTGAATTTGAGTATCCATGACAGAGAGCTGATGTCATTATGTGGAGGGCCAACCACAGCTGCTGGTCCTGACTGCGAGCCATGACCCCAGATCAGAAGCACTGACTGAGACACTAAAGCTGTCTCCTTTAAAGTGATGATAAAAGAATATGGGAGAGACGTGATCCAGAGTGTACACATGGCCACGGGCTGTCCAAGATGGAGACAGTTCTAACAAAAAGAGGGGAGATTTTGGTCATCATTGCACCATCATGAAGTTGAATATGAGTCATGAACAGGTGATGTCTGTCTCAAAAATGTTTTATCTCTTCAGTAGAAGTAGTGAGTGTTGTTACAAGACTAAAATTTAGTAGTTGTCTCTTGAATATTATCATGTGGTCTTAGTTATTATGAAGTTTAAAATCATCTGCCATTCAACTATTCAGGAGAGGTCAAGGAAAGGTCTAGTAGTAGTAGTAATAGTTGTTGTAGCAGTATTTGTTGTAGTAGTAGTAGTAGTAGTAGTAGTAGTAGTAGTAGTAGTAGTAGTAGTAGTAGTAGTAGTTGTGTCTTGAATATTATCATGTGGTTTTAGTTATGATAAAGTTTAAAACCATCAACTATTCAAGTACTCGTGAAAGGTCAAGGAATGACTAGTAGTATTAGTAATAGTTTTTTAATAGTAGTTGTGGTTGTAGTTATAGCTATGGTAGTAGTGGTAGTAGTAATAGTAGTAGTAGTTGTTGTAGTAGTAGTATTAGTAGTAGTTGTAGTGGTAGTAGTTGTAGTACTAGTTGTAGTAGCTCTAGTAGTAGTGTTGTTGTAGTGTTGTAGTAGTAGTTGTAGTAGTAGTTGTAGTAGCAGTTGTCGTTGTTGTTGTAGTAGTAGTAGTTGTAGTAGTTGTGGTCCAGATCCTATAAGAATCCATCTTTGTTTCCAATCTAGCCATAAAACTTCTATTTCTCTGGCCTACTAAAAACTCTCATCTAATTCAGAAATTTCCCCTTGTGGGCAAATAAAGTTAATTGAGTTGAATTGAACTGCAAATAAAAATACACACTTTACTTACGGCACAGCTACTTATTTTGCCAGTCTTATGTTATAATATCATTACCACAGTTATTTTTTATCAGCGGCACATACCACAGATGTTCAAACAAGTTCCTTTTTAAAAAGACAAGACCTCACAGTTACACATCTCTGAATCGCTGTCCAATTTTTCAGTATCTGTATGTGCTTGCAATACTATTCATTATTTATACAGGGAGCGGCCTCCAACTACTACTTCTCATATACAAATACTAAACTATTTTGTGGGATCTGCTGGTGGTCTACATTTTCAACTGTTCTGGATAATAAATATTTATAACTCCTGAGCACATTTGGACTTTTTATCATGTGGTTGCAAATGTGAGTTCTTTAGAAAGCCCAGCAATGATCAGTGGTAGAAGGTAGCAAAGTGAAAGTAGCAAATAAAGTAAAATTTTAAGTATCTGTGCTTAATTTAAAATTTAAAATTTGTGTAACTTTTTTGGTAGAGGGTTCACAATCTGCTTGACTATTATTGTTTCCTCAGAATGTTCTACAGTATGGCTTTTAATTTAACTGTCCCCATGGAAACAAGCAGGCCACATCACCACGTCAAATTACAGGTCAGATCTGTGGAGAAGTAGGTAGGCTCATGTTAATAATGAAAGTGAAATAAAAAACAGCCATAACTGAATAAATACAATTTATTTTGTTGAATGCCAGATTACGGAACATTCCAGGCAAAGCAATAGTATCACCATGGAGTCAAGCAGATGGGGGACCTTCCATCAGAAAAGTTACACTTTGCACCTTTAAGTACATTTTAGAGTAGGTACATTTTAGAGTAGGTACTTTTACTTCACTACATTTGAGAGCAGGTATCTGTGCTTTCTACTCCACTACATTTTTGAACTGTATTGAAAAGTAAAAGTTTTTTTTTTTTACTATTATTGTTTGAGACCTGCAGTCTCAAACAATAATAGTATAGTAATAGTATAATAGAGCAAGCACACTTGAGGCTTTACTAGATCTCAGACTGTGCAAAATACTTTTACTTTGTATATTTTCAAACAGATACTTAAATTCTTTTACTTGAATCATTCTTTTAATATGATACTTTTACTTTTACTCAAGTACTTTTTTTGCTCCTGTATGTGTACTTTTACTGTTTGAGTCCTTGTTCCACCACTAGTGATGATACCAGCCAGGACCCGTCCCCTCCATTTCTGCTACTACATTTTCATGCTGTAATAAAAGTAAATAGTGTAACCCAGGTCCTTGTCGACTTGCTCTGTTTGCGTTTTCCACTTGCTCCCACTTGTGCTGCGTGTTTGGTTTGAGCGGGAGTACAAGCCCAAGTATTTACTACATAAATATTGGCAGCCAACAAAGTCACTGGGGTTGAAATGGCAGTGAGTGCATTGTACAAAAAAGATACAATATAATGAGGCTGCAATTGTATGTAAATATAAAGAACTATTATGTGCTATTGCCTCTATTGTACTCCTGCTACTACTGTTACCATATTGACAATGCTTTAGTACTATAAGGACTACTAGCAATAGTACATGTAATAGTACTTTTAATCTCTCTCACCTTGATTAAGTTACAGATGTTTGTATTTCTCAAAAATATCTTGAAACATTTGCTTTCTTACTGTGGGCAGGGTCACTTTTTCACAGATCTTACCTTTTCACTTGGTCTGGTGTTGTCACATGCTGGTTTCTATGGAGATTTAGTTGTTTTTTATGGAGAATATATTTTTTCTATGTAGAATGATCTGTCATACTCTGGACTATTAGGTAATGCAATAACATCTTCATTGAGACAAACAGGTAGCAGACTCTCCTCTAGAAAAGTGACATAGTCCACCTTTAACTGATTTTATTTCTGCTACTATAATTACAATTATGACTTGTGCTGCTAACTCAGATTTGTTACAAACATTTCAACACCAGAAACATATTTTTGACCATTTTATTCCCACATTATCACCTCTTCATACTTGACTTAACTTTCTTTAAATTTAAATGCTCATTATTTACTATGTGTCTTCCACAGCTTTACAATGGCGGACCGATTTGACTGTGACAACTGTAAGGAGTCCCTGTATGGCCGGAAGTACATTCAGTCTGATGACAGCCCATACTGCATCCCCTGCTACGACAGCCTCTTCTCCAACACGTGTGACGAGTGCAAAGAGCTGATAGGACACGATGCTCGGGTAAGAACTTTACTCAGACAGGACCAGACCTGCAGCACAACTATCAGATGTGACCATGATATGATACAGTGCAGGTTATGATGAAAGCTAAAGACTTCCATTTAAGGTAGTGTAATCCAACCACCCAGAAATAAGTGTATAAATATACAAATAATAGTAATTAGACTTAGATTTAGACCAACTTTATTGGTCCACCAGAGAAATTGTTTGGACACAGTAACTCACACATCACAATATATTATAATAACAGAGTAAGAATATAATTTCATCTGCTAACCTTTGTCCTCTGTGTGATTTTTATACTAGTTTAACTGGTCATATTTCAGGTTAAAGTTAAGGTAGACTCTTTTGTCCTGCATACTGTATAGTCCTTTGAATTTGACCCATTTATTGATGTGGCTGGGGTAACATGTAAGGAGCAGTTGAGATCAATCTCCAGATCTTGAGCTAGTCTCGGTCAGAACTATTTTAGCTTAGCTGGAGGATTTGACCTATTGTGCATGTTATTTTGTAAAACTGTTTAGCCCTAGACTGATAGTAACACTCAATAATCTTCATGTGTTTTGAAATATGTTCAACTGGTTACACAAAAAGCCCCATAGTTAGTAGAATTTATGTCTCTTACCTTAAAAAAGTTGGAAAAAACAACATAAATGTCTGAAAGACCATGTCAGTTTTTACAGAATCAACAACTGAAGCACCAAACTATTACTTATCTCAAGTAAAAGGCAAGGCAAGTTTATTTGTATAGCACAATTCATACACAAAGTAATTGAAAGCACTTTACAGAATAAGAAAGACATCATGAATAATCATCATAAAATTTACATTAAAAGAGAAGAGAGAAGAAAATAAGTAATTTTGTTCTGAGTGTTATGAGCTTTTTGAAGAGATGTCTTCTGCAGTGGTTGGACCATCTCAAGTTTGGACAGATTCTACAGTTCTAGTCTCTTCTGGATTCGAACAGAATGCAGAAGCAACTGGCTGGTCAGGCAGTATTATAGTACTGTGCTAAATAATATAATAAATGACTTCTCAGTAAGGTTCACCATTAAAAATTACAAGCTGCTTATAGTACCACTGATGCATCACTTGGGCTAAATGAGGCATCTCCTATGTATTTAGTGTAGCGGGTCACAGTTATGGCTGATTTAACCTGTAATTATACACTCAATTTGAGCCAAGTCCATATATGCCATGGGTTCACTTCTATCTCGTAAAACTCAACCATGAAACAGCCTCTTCTTTTTAATTCCCAGAAACAAGATGTTTCTTACTTCCTAATGAAAAACACTAACTAGTCATTAATCATGTGAACTCAACAAGCACAGCAAAACTTTCAGATTATGTTTAAGAACAGTGAATTATTAGCAGTCTCACAGCCCATAGAGGAAAATTATACTGAACACATTTTTGGCATCTCCAGGCCTCTGTAGCAAACTCCCCTTTTAAACAGGACATTTTTCAGATCGTAGCATGCATCATTGTACAGAGATTGTGGTTGGAGTTTGTACACAGCTCATGTGTCATTGTGACTAGGATAATGCTAACCACTGGGTTCTTTCTGTTTAATAACTCAAAATGTGGAAATGGTTTACAAGCACAGTGCAAATCTGATCTTTATCTGATTTCTGGAGTCATCCAGTTATAGAAATGCCATGAAAACTGTTATATCTGATGTGAGTAATCTGATTTGTTTCTCATTGTTCAGACTTGTGTTGGTTTTGACAAGAAGTCATGCAAAAAAAGGCAAACTAACCTGACAAAGACAAAAATGAAAGAGAAATGTTAAAGGTTTTATGCAAAATTAACTCTTGTGAGCGTTTAGCTATGTTAGACCGTTGTCACCTGAGTTGTGTTTTGTTCATTCACACACATTTGAGTAATCCTGCATTATTAGTTTTTTTTAAATTAAAGGTTAGGGTGATGCTTTATTTAGGCTTGTTAAGGTAGTCATTAGCAGGTGACACCATAGGGCTAAGTTAGTCCACGTGTTAGATCTGTGGAGAGGAGAGCTCGCTGACTGTAAATATGCAAGTTTTTAGGTCAATAAATACCCAGGTTATTGTACAAATACAACATGGATATATTTAATGCCATACCAGGACTTTCCAGACAAAAATGGCACTGCTTGTTTTCATGGAGACTAGCAGAAAAGCCAGAAAAGTTAAAGGTGCCTGTTACACAGTTACACGCACCCTTAAATCAGAATACAGTTGATTTAATCCAGTGGTTGTGTTATCAGTCACAATGGGACTGTCAGAATCCACCCTTATGCCCTTATTAGTGAAGGACATTATATATTTGTACACACTACATAAGAAATCCCTTTGCGTTCTCAGGAGCTGTTCTATGAGGACCGGCACTACCACGAGCACTGCTTCCGCTGTTTCCGCTGTGACCGCTCTCTGGCCGATGAGCCCTTCACCAGCCAGGACGACGCCCTGCTGTGCAACGACTGCTACTGCAATGAGTTCTCCTCCAAGTGTGTGGCCTGTGACAAGATCGTCATGCCTGGTAATGGACTCAGTTGATCAGTCAGACATGATACAAAATACAATGACAAAAAGAGTGTTGGAGGGACAGACCTGGTTGGGTATCATTAAGAAGATGCAGATATGATATATACCTCAATACATAGGCCACGATACGATAAATATCTATAATCAGTGAGCTTTCGATTCGATACGATATATTTCAAATCAATTTGATACGGTTCAATAAAATAAAGCAAAATAATGGGTGTGATAATAAAAGTCTTTGTTTAGCCACTTCCTGTGCAAAATGAATATGAAACACGCCCATTTTAATCATCAAAACAGTGAATATGTTAAATGTGTAAATGAGTTTCCTTCTTCTAAACTAGCAACAAAATTGTAGCGGTGTAACAAAATAATAGTAATAGTAAAATATACCAAAAAATACAGCAGCCCACAAAATCAATACTGTATCATCACATATATAAATATTTCAATATTTTTGCACAGCCCTAATGTGTCGATATGTTTATAGACAGAAGACATGGGGTCAGACATTAGTGGGAGTAAGGAGACGATGGGGAAACGAAGGAGGATGATGGTTCTGTTGTTTTAATTGGAGCATTACGGTAAGGAATTAGAGGATAGCAGGATTAGGTGAAGTCAGTATGGGGATGAGAGACCAGTGGCAGTGGTGGTTCTAATGCATGCTGTCATTGGGCATCAGTAGCTCAGTAGGAGTGTTTGTCCAGTGATCAGAAGGTTGGTGGTTAGAATCTTCCTTTTGTCATAAACATCACTGGTCATTCACTGACCCACAGGTTGGCGATGATTCCAGCTCCCAGAGATGAATCCAAGGACACTAAACCCTCCCTCATACCCAGTGTGGGTGTACACTGGTGTGTTGATGCAAAGCACTTTGAGTGCCTTGAAGCTGCATTGTATTATCATTGTTATTTGAAAGATTACATTAATTTGCAAGTTTTTGTTCCATGAAGGCCTATACCAATTTGTGGTGTATTTATCACACTGCAAGTATAGGACAAGCAAATACCCATGTGTGTTTTGCTTTGTACTTGTTTGCTATTTCAGTACGATTAAGATGTTAAAGTTATGTTTTTTATACACCTGAGTCGTCTTAATGGTCTAGAAAGCAGACAGATATTTCTCATTTCTCCAGTTCACCACATTAACTCAGCTGTGTATGCTATATGCTAACAAACTCGTCTTACTTTAAATTGTTGTACTCTGCTCTAAAGTGGTTAATGCACATGCCATGCAAAGTTATACCTACACCATCCAAACAGCTCACTCAAATGGTTCCTTAGTTTACAAGATTTTTATGATACGCTGCTCCCAAGCCCTATGTGTAGAGATATGCTGTATTATTACTCCAAAAGGTCCCTCATTTCCTGATATTAAACCAGTATGTCTGTCCTAACCCAGTTTCAAGGCCTCGGAGTTCATCTCGGTTCAGTTTTATGAATCATACAGATATACAATGCATGTACGAGTGTACCTTTGCCAGAACCCCCTACAGCTTAGCGTCAACTTCAAACATGGCGCTTGCTCAAGAGGACATATAAGGAGAAGACAGAGGAGCGCTTTATTGACAATGGATATAAACAGGAGCACACTCTGTAGACTGTGCTTCCAGCTACGACTGACCTACTTCCAACCTAAGGATTAAGTGAATCGACTTGTGTAAATAAAACAGTACATTTGTGTTTCAGCGTGATGGAAGTTCAGATGTTAGTAAAGCAGTAACTCTTCTTTCTATGATTTTGAGGAGATAGCAACATTATAAAATGGCCTCACAAAGCTCAAAAGAGTCAATTTTGTATGATATAGGACCTTTAAAGCAAAGGTGGTGAAGTGTGTTAGGTTTCTGACCCTTAACCATATGGTAACTCAACTATTGCTGGAGTACATTTTGTGGTTTACCAGGCAAGACAAATTGACTAGTTTGAGAAAAATCTACCATTGTGGATTACACATTTATTCCAGTGGGTACTTTGCAAAATTAGGTCTATTTTTATCATTTGCTTCATTCAGCTATTTATGTGTTGAAGCTCATGTCTTTTAATGACACTGTCTATTTTATTTTTGTTTTATTGGGATTATTAAAGGTGCACTATGTAACTTTTTCTGCTGCTTCTTTCTGTGAATATGTCATTGCTCTGCCTGGAATGTTCCACAGTATGACATTTAACAGTTCTACCTTATATTTATTCAGTGACATGTGGTTTTCTAGCTCAAAAATACCTAGAAACAATTTTGACTGTGAGTGGGGTCCACAGATATGACATCTAACTTGGTCTGGTTTGGGTCTCCATGAAGATCGAAAGGTTCAATGCCATACTGTGAAACATTCCAGACAAAGCGATAACATTCTCCATGGAGAAAAGTGTATGATAGTTAAGTTATATTAAACAGTAATATTATAATTTATCGCAGTAAATCTCTACAGAAATATATCGTGCTTCAAAATGTGTTATAGTGACAGGTCTAATTCTAGTCCTGGTTTAGTTCTGGTTTAGTTCTGTGGTGTCTGCGTCCCTAGAGTTGGTCATTGTTTAATATGAGCCTTAAACTGTTCTTACGCAGAGCAATTGTACCAAATTGAAGTTAAGTCATTTATGAGGTAATATAATGGTGTTTTGATTTGCCTAGTATTAACATTTGGCAGGATGAGCTCTTACTACTGCCAGCAGGCACTTGTTTGTTTTCACACATGGGTTGTTAATGTGGTCTAAACATCTCAAAACAGCACATTAACTACTGGCTGGAATTGTAATACATTTCAAGGAAAACTCAGTGACTTTGTATTGACCGTGCTCTTGGGAAATGTAAATCTTGCCATTGTTTAACTCATCTATTCCTGAACTAGAGGATTAAAGGGCCCATATTATGCTATTCTCTGATTCATGTTATAATGTTTCCTCATCACAAACATACCTGGAGTTGTGTTTTGTTTCATTCTCACATGTTTAGCACACAAACCCTGCATATTTAGGCTGAGTTTGTCTCTCAAATGGAAAACACTTTGTTCCACCTTGTGATGTCATGTGGTAATACAGGAAGTGCTCCGCTGTGTTTTTTAAATTCATTATACCTTCACTAGAATCATTTTGATAGTTTCAACCCTGGAATTGCTCATTTCTATTGAACTAAAGGTAAAATGTAGCCAAAAACTACCACGTCATGACATCACAAGGTGGAGGTAGACAGACTAATAATACAGAATTACTTAAACATGTTTGAATGAAACAAAACAAAACTCCAGGTATGTTTTTAGGAGGTAACAACATCATAACATGGCTTAAAGCTCATGAGTCAATTCTGAGCTTTAAATGTGCACTGTGTAACTTTTTTGTGGAGGGTCAATTGCCTTTCTTCATGAAGATGTTATTGCTTTGTCTGGAATGTTTCACGGAATGCTATTACACCTTTCTATTATCACGAAGTCCACACCAAGTTACAGGTCAGATCTGTGGAGAGGTGACCCTGCTCACAGTCCGAATGCTTGTTTTTCCAGGAATTTTTGAGCTATAAAACCACCTGTAATTGAATTAGTTGTTTAATGTAATACCGTGGAACATTCCAGGCAGAGCAGGTGACCGACACTCCACTAAAAAGTTACACAGTGCAGGCAAAGGTGGTGCAGTTTTTTTTTTTTTTTATCTCTAACCATATGGTAACACAACTGTTGCTGTATTGTGTAGTTTCCCAGACATGACATTTGACTAATTTGAGAAAAAATGTACATTGTGGATTACACACTTATTCCAGGACTATACTGACCCAAGTTTGGTTACTGTTAATGGGAACTTCATAGGGTCAGGGTAGATCATTCTTGGCCAATTGATGTCATCAACATTCCCTAGGGGTGTGAAGCCAACTGTAGGCAGTGCTCAGTCTGAAACTCTGTTATACTTTGATCTGATACAATCTTACTTGATTGGAACTACAACAGAGGAGCTTTTTTGTTGAAAATCAAAAACCTAAACAGCAAATATGTGCATTGTATCTCCATGGTAACTGCTAGGGATGTAACAATAACCAACATACCATGATATTGTATTGTCAAAAGTCTCACAATATGCAGCAACAGCTAAAAAAATATGCAGCAACAGCTAAAAAACAGAGAGAACTACGCTGAATCTTGGATTATGATGGAAAAGTAGTGTATGTGCAATTTTGTTAACGTCCACAGAATATCGCAATAAATATCGCTCCGTGAGATGTGATTCATGAAAATATCGTATCGGAAGATTTGGAAATTGTTACATCTCTGGTAACTGCTGATATATTCCACTATATACGGTAGACACTCTGGCAGAACATCCCCCGTGCGATGTGTCACTATTAACTCACATGTTTGCATATATTGAAGTACTTAGTCAGATAAAACTTTTCTGATCTACAAAGGAAATAATTTGGACACAGTAGCTTATGCATCACAATATAATTTAATAACAAAGAGCAAATATAAATGGTTGGAAATTAAAAATAAGTAGGAAAAATAACAAGAGACTGGTGTAAATAAGGCATAATTATATAAAAATGTATATGTGCAAGTAAAAATGAAATATAGACATATACTGTAGTAATACAAATATATCTCTGTTATATACAAGATTTGCTTGTTGTTTTATCTTTTTGTGCGAAATATCTGTACATTATGCAAAATAGTTCAATTCAATTCTACTGTAATTCAATGTACAACAATGAGACCATAAGAACTCCAAAGCCAGAAGGTAATGCTATGAAGTGTTTGGGGACATAAAGAAAATCAGATTTCCTGCAATCGGAAAGTACTGCGGTGTCTGTGGTATTATGATTCAAAATAAAATAAACCGTTGTGAAACAAAATGACTTTTATATACCATCACGCAACAATTTCATCTTTTTATAGCCCGCTTAAAGTACCACCAGGAACACTGAAATGAGTTTACCAGGAGATTTAAACAGGATAATAGGTCCCTTTAGCCAGTCGTTTTTTCCATCCATCATTATGTCTATTATATGAATGTATTTTTTGCTTTTTCAGGCTCGAGGAAGCTGGAATATGGCGGCTCCACATGGCACGAGGGCTGTTTCATCTGCCACAGTTGTGAACAGCCCATTGGCTCCAAGTCCTTCATCCCAGACAAAGACGAGCACTACTGCGTCCCCTGCTATGAGGACAAGTTTGCCCCTCGCTGTACACGTTGTAAAAAGGTACTGACTCACTGTACAGCTACAAAACAAACAAATAAGATAACATAAATGCTTCTGGATGTTTGTGGTTCAGTCAGAAATACACCACACTGCAATTATACTTTTTTATATTGATACATGATTGGCAGTGCTGGTTTTAGCTAGACTTGCTCTTCCTTTATGAGGACAAAATATTCTGTACAATGACTCAATGACTGGTATGTTTTTACAGCATCAAGTCTCAAACAAAAATGAGTGAATTTAAACCATAATAATCAATACAAACAAACATCAGTGTCAAAACATGTAATTAATTAAAGGTCCAAACCGTCCAAAATAGATTCTTGTGAGCTTTAAGCCATGTTATAATGCTGTTACTTCATCAAAAACATACCTGGAGCTGTGTTTTGTGTCACATGCTTGAGTAATTCAAATAATAATTCCAGGGCTGAAATTTTCCAAATGATTAAAGTGAAAGTGTATGGAAATTAAAAATACAGGGGAGCACTTCCTGTGTTACCACATGACATCACAAGGTGGAACAGCATGTTTTCAGTTTGAGAGAAGAACTCAATCTAACTATTCAGCATTTGTGTGTTAAATAGGAAACAAAACACAAGTCCAGGTATGTTTTTGATGTGGAATCATCATTATGACATAGATCAGAAATAGTGTTAATATGGGCCAACAATGCTTTGCTTTGCTACAGCAATATACAATTTTTAAGAGGGAGATTGCTACAAATAATGCATATTTTGATTATCATAAATAACATGTAATAATATAAACTGTGAATTATTATAATTAATCTTATTACTGAAAATGCTGCAGGTGCTGCCATTATCATTGGAGTTGTAATGTTTTGCATGGGACTTTCAATCTTAACAGTAAATAAGTTTTATATAGACTACTAAAGCCTTTTTAAAAGCCGTTTTAAAGCCTGTCTGAGAATCTGTGTATTTCTGACTTGTTGGTGTACATGAGCATTGTTTTTTACACAAATCTACTTTATACATTTTACACAAATCCACTTTATATCACATTTTATTGCCAAAACTTCTCTATTGAACTGGAGTGGATATATGATATACCTTTGCCTTTGTTTCAGACCCTAGCTAAAGGTGGAGTGACCTACCGGGATGAGCCGTGGCATAAGGAGTGCTTTGTGTGCACAAGCTGTAAGACCCAGCTGGCCGGACAGCACTTCACCTCCAGAGAGGACAGCCCCTACTGCCTCAAGTGCTTCGGGAGCCTGTACGCCAAGAAGTGTGAGGCCTGCTCCAAGCCCATCACAGGTAGCTCTAAAGTCTCACATCCTGCTGTTTGTCGTCTTTTGGAACTGGGCTGCAAGGTTAAAGGCCCATATTAGATTATTTTCTGATCTATGTTATGTTGTTTCCTCATCAAAAATATACATGGAGTTGTGTTTTATTCACAAATCCTGTACATTTAGACTGAGTTTTGGTCTCAAACAGAAAACACTCTGTTCCACCTTGTGATGTCATGTGGTAATGCAAGAATTGCTCCTCTATGTTTTTAAAATCCATACACCTTCACTAGAATCATTTGGAAAATTTCAGCCCTGGAATTGCACATTTCTACTGAACAGAAAGCAAAAGGTAGCTGTTAATTGGAAAACTACAGTGACATGATATCATAAGGTGGAACAGAGCATTTTTAGCTGTGGAGATGTAAACAGACTAACATGCAAATGAAAGAAAACACAACGCCACAGAGGAATTTCATAGATTACAACATTGTGATCAAATTTTTATTGAATTTAGGAGAATATAGCTGAATATCATTTTGCTTTAGTCCTTTGTTAATTAAAATGTTAATGAAAACATGATTTACCCAACAGTCTGTGATATAAGAAGCTAAATTTTATCCATTTATATCATGTTTTAAAGATAGTAGTTGGTTTTACTTCATGTTTGGGTCTTTCATGCGAAAAATCTCTTGTTCCACTGGGATGGCAATAATCTGTCAGAAATGTCAACACAACTCAGGATTATGCAGATTCAGCAACAAGTGGTTTGACACTGAATGAAAAACAAAAAAAGATATTTCACTGAGAATAATAGAAGTGACAGTGAAGCCCATGTGTTTATGGTTTGGACAAATAGACTGCTATTGTGTACAGAAGGGAACATGTCTGAGGAAAACTGTAAACACTCACTCCACTTTCTGCTATTTCAGCATTTGAGGGGCCTGTGTCATAACACTAAAGGCTTTCGTCTAGAAGAATATAATGGTACCAGTATTAAAGGGCCCATATTATGCTATTTTCTGATCTATGTTAACATGTAAACATACCTGGAGTTATGTTTTGTTTCATTCACGCATTTAACACACAACCCTCCATATTTAGGCTGAGTTCTTTTCTCAGTTTTCTTAGCTTACATTTATATTTTTGTTTTTGTTCTGTATTGTAGGTTTTGGAGGAGGGAAGTACATTTCGTTTGAGGACCGCCAGTGGCACCAGCCCTGCTTCACCTGCAGCCAGTGCTCTGTCTCCCTGGTGGGGGCAGGCTTCTTTCCAGATGGGGACAAGATCTTATGCCGCGAATGCCACACCAGCCTATAAAACCTGCTATTCCAGATGCCCTACCACATTGTGACTCTGTGTTTGATTTCACAGTATTGGACACAACCATGCCTATGCAAAGATGCACGCAGGGTTTCCCTTTGTGATAAACATACTTGTTCCTTGTTGTCCATAAAGCAGTTTAATGCTGTATAGAAGTCACAGAATGAGTTTTGCAAGTAGAGCTATCTATATATTTGGTAGACCTTTTATTAATAGTTAGACACAGAGAATATTCCAATATGGGCACAAAGAAAGAATGCAATTGCTGAACAACCCTACATAATAGACTAACCTGTAAACTAACTTACAATGTAAGAAAATAAAAATACATATACTAAAATGTGCCTTAGAAGTTGGTATGCAAAATCAAAGATGCTATAAAACCAAAGAGATAAAAGTGCCAGTCACTTTTAAAAGTGTGTTTAGGTAAGTGAGGAGACGGTAAACTGATGATTTGTTGGTGGATTTTCTTAATGTGTTTATAAATGATAAATGCAATGGTTCTCAAACAGTGGGTCTGGACCCAGAGACAGTATAATATGTGACATATGTATAATAAAAATACATACTTTAAAGGCAAAACAGATTTGCTAAATTGCGTCTAACAATCCAATGCAATCACTTTATTTCAAATGTTTCATCTTCATCCGGTAATTTTTCTGAACTATAGAAAGTGGGAGAAAGCGCAACACTGTTGTAAAAATAGTGACAATCTATACCTATAGAAACTATAAACAATATTTTAAAAAGAAAAATTGTACTTTGCAAAAAAAAATTCTTATTAGTATTTCATTCAGTTCTGTTGCACTTTGGCTGGTGTTGCTCGTCTCTACAGTTTGTGCACATAAGACATTTCACTGCCACAGACAGACATGCCACTTTGATGTGTCATATTCCTGCTTTAGTCTTTTTTCTGTTTTTTTTTTGTTTTGTTTTTTTAACCACAACAATTCCAACAAAGTTTGGACACTGTCAGGGACTCAAAGGACGTGATTCAACTCAGATCTGTCGATTAAGGACATGTCTCAAGCAACAGGCACAAGAAAATAGTCCAAAAGTCCAAAGAAAGTACTGGAGGAGCAGGTGGGCACACTCAAAACATGAATTAACCAAATAATATCTACAGAATACCACATTTATGGAAAAAGCTGACATAATATAAATGTTTGAAGTCATTGTAAAATGTTTGATTATCAGTAAAAGGCCAATATTACTCTTATTTTCTGACCTATGTTTTAATGTTGTTCCCTTATTACAAACATACCTGGGGTTGTGTTTCATTCACACAAACCCTGCATTGAATATGCAGGGTTTGTGTGAATGAAACGGAAAACACTGTTCCACCTTGTGATGTCACGTGGTAAGTGCTCCACTGTGTTTTTAAACTTCATACTCCTTCACTAAAATCATTTGGACAATTCCAGCCTTGGAGCTGGCAATCTCTACTTAACTAGAAATAAAAGGTAGCTGTTGAACTGAAAACGCTTCATGATATCACAAGGTGGAACAGAGCATTTTGAGCTTTGGAGATATAGGCATTCTAATAATAAAGGGTTACTTAAACATGTGAATGAAATAAAAACACAACTCCAAGTATGTTTTTTGAGGAGATAACATTATAGCATGAGAACAAGCTCTTAAGAGTCAATGTTGTGTAATACTGGACCTTTATCATTATAGTAAGGTCCCTATGCTTGATCATCTATAAGGCATGCAGTGTGTTCAATGATTATCTAAAAACAACTCTATTGTAGTTACCTCCAGTGACTCAACATTATGGAATTGTACTTGTACTTTTCATTTGTAAATATTTAATTGTCACTGATGCTTATTGCGAGCAGCAGATCTACGTGCATGTTTTTAGCCCCTTTATTAACACGCTTTAAATTTTTTGTTTTACTGTTTGTGTGTAAAATTTAAAAATGCATTTCTATAATCTTTTTTCCCGCTTTGATGCTGGTGAGTCAGAGTTGGCATATACGTGTTTCAGCATATGTAAACTGTTGTGGTCACAGCCGGATGAACTTACTGTAAATCAGGAATATGTGATACGGCTACATGCTACGATGGTTAGCTCGATTTGTGAAGTCTAATGAAATAAATATACGCTGCGGACATTTTTATACTTTGTGTGTTTTTTTGTGGCTGCGGTTGGGTGCGCATTACTTCTTTATGAGCTCATAGTACTCGGTGGTATTCGTATAACAGAATACTGCGTATTCTTTCGAAGAATGTTTTCACTATACTTCAGAGGTGTCAAGTTAAAGTAGTAAAGTACTGTACTTAAGTGTCAATTTTAGGTATATGTACTTTACTTAAGTCGATTTTAAAGTTGTTGTTTTTTTGTTTTTTTTCTTTTACTTCACTATATTTGAGAGCAGGTATCTGTACTTTCTACTCCACTACATTCTTTGAACAGGACGGAAAAGTAATTTTAAAAGTATTTTGTATTATATTTTCAGATCTGCTGAAATGAATGCAGGGTTTATTATATTAAGTTCATAATTTGAACAAACAAAAATATACAAATAAAAACAGCTAGGAAAAAACAAATCAAGTTTTTGTTGAGCAAAATTCAGCATGAATCTGTATCAAAATCAGTACATTTGAAGTTTTATAAGCCCTCAAAATGTGCACAATATACTTTTACTTTTTACTCTTTAATTGCAATTTTAAGTAGATATTTTAATACTTTTAACTTTTTCATATGATACTTTTACTTTCACTTAAGAGTTTTTTTGCTCCAGTATCTGTACTTTTACTGAGTACTTCTTCCACCACTGCTGTACTTAGATGATAAACCACATCCACCAAGAGCACAAACTTAATCTACTTTATTTCACTGTAACATAACAATAAAGTGTGTGAATGCATGTAAGCTCGGTAAACTGCACGCTCCAATGTTTATGCTGAGTGGACTCTTTGATGGGACTGTACACACACACGGAGCAGACCCACTCTCCAGGCTCACGGCTTGGGTGCGATGTCCTCCTCCCTGCACCAAGTTGCGGATTTTTTCACCAAAAAAGGAAATGGAAAAGTTGTAGCCGCTCGGGCCGGGAGGGAGGAGGGGGGAAGGAGGAGAGGGAGAGAGTGTGGAGGAAGGGGGGGTGGTGGAGTGAGAGAGAGGAAGAGAAAGAAAGAGAGAGGATGTGCACATGCGGAAAAGCTCTGTGGCACTTTCGTTCTGTGTGTCTGGAAGGGTCAGCTGGTTTGCTTTAAAGGCTCATTTGTGTAACTTTTTTGGTGGAGGTTCCGTCACCTGCTTGTTTTTATGGATATGTCATTGCTCTGCCTGAAATGTGCCACAGTATGATATTAAACAGGTAAAAATGTTCCACTGTATAGATAAACCCATCCATCATGAGGGAGACAAGCAGGTTACAATTATAATTCAGATCTGTGGAGAGTTGCCTTTAGGAATTCTTGTATTTTTCAGCAATAGAAACGCCGTAATGAATAAACGCTCTGTGGATATGTTGAATGTCATACCGTGTAACATTCCAAAGCAGTAACATCTCCATGGAGACAAGGAGGTAAACCACCAACCTCCACGAGAAAAAATGTGCAGTGCAGCTTTATCTTCATTTAACAATGTAAAGGTGTCATTGTCATTTATTTGTATTAGTTTAACCAAAATTATTGTGCAGTTTAAACAAGTTTTGACTCTTCTTAACATTATAGTTACTAGCTGACAGGAAAATTATAAACTTAATCAAAAAAGTAAAGTCTTAACCATGTTTTAGTGGAACGATCTTAACCTGTCGTACTGATATTAAATAGAAGTGGTGGCTAAGATGCTGTCAGTGGAGCAGGAATGATTAATACAGTTTACCTTATGATGAGGTTAATTTAAAACCTGATGAGGTAAAGTTTCCACGTGTAAAAGAATGACACTCCTATCTGTCCTTTGTGCGGTTTGCCAAAGCTGACCTATTACATTGCATATTTACTGGCAATATACGTATGCATACCTCTTTGAATGTAATAGGTTAATCTTCAACCAGAATACACCTTGGAAATGAAAAACAATTGTGCATTTTAAAGGTTCTATATTACACAAAATCAACTCTTGTGAGATTTAAACCATGTTATAATGTTGTTACCTCATCAAAAACATACCTGGAGTTGTGTTTTGTTTCATTCACACATGTTTGAGTAATCCTGGTTTATTAGTCTGCCTATATCTCCAAAGCTCAAAATGCTCTGTTCTACCTTGTGATGTCATGTAGTAGTAGTTTTCAAGTTAACAGCTACATTTGACAACTTTTATTCTGTAGACATGTGCAGTTCCGGGGCTGAATTTTGCCAAATGATTCTAGTGAAGGTGTGTGGAGTTTAAAAACACAGTGGAGCAATTCCTGTCTTACCACATGACATGACAAGGCGAAACAGAGTGTTTTCTGTTTGAGAGAAGAACTTATCTTAAATGTATGTGTTGTGTGTTAAAGGTGTAAATGAAACAAAAACAGAACTCCATGTGTGTTTGTAATGAGGAAACAACATTATAACTTATATCAGAAAATAGTGCAATATGGGCCCTTTAAAGTAAGTTTATGTAATGTTTTTAGTAGAAATTATCTGATAAAATAAGGTACTTTTTATGTTTGCTAGTCCTTACAAGTGATCAGAGATGCTTTGTGGCAGAGTGGTTAGTATTACTTGGAACAGTGACTAAACTCTGCAGTAACTCATCTCGAACCTTTACTTCTTTGACCTTTTTGTCGACTGCACCACACCCAGACATTTCTTCAAAACATCACTAATTTAAGCGAGCAGTTACGAAATTCACTCTAGGGAGGATAATTATTAGACTACATAAAAACAAACTCTATAATTTGAGAAGGGCTTCTCAGTGTGACAAGATAAACACCAAATGTCACAACCACAGTCCATCAGGGGGCGCTGTTTTAATGCACAGTGCCATGTGTTGTGTCAAAGTTGTCACTAGTCATTTGTCTGGAAGGGGGCTGCCATGTTCCCCACAGTCACTCCTAATGATGTATGATCAACAAGTAAGTAGTAGAAATAAACCGTTCTTTTGCTTCTAAGTACTCTATACTGTATAACTAAAGAAATACACAGGATACTTTAATAGTGCAGCTACTATACCTGTCAAAACTGTTATAAGGCTTATTTATATTTCTTAGTGTATCTCATAGTTTAATTTTAACAAAAGAATTAAGTTTGTCGTTCTAAACTGGGCAGGATTTAAAGAGCCCTATATTATGTTTGTTTCTGATCTGTTATAATGCTCTTTCTTGTTGCTTCACTGTGTTTTAAATTCCATACACTTCATACACTAGAATCATTTGGATAATTTCAGACCTGAAAATGCCAATGGAAAACTTTAAAACTACCATAACATGACATCACAAGGTGGAACAGGGCACTTTGAGCATTGGAGATGTAGAAAAACTAATAATAAAGGGTTACTCAAACATGCTACTACTACTATTTAATCCCACCTGTGACTAGGGTTATCAAACTTATCGAATACTAATACTAATCAATACTAAAACTAATACTGAAACTGCATGCTAATTTGAGCTGGCCAGGCTGGCGCCACCTAGTCCCTCCGCTCAATTTCATTTCTTTCCAGTGACTAGGTCAGGAATCGGAACACACTAGACAGTTTGTGAGACCCTTGGAAGTTGTAGACCACGCATCGGCCAATCAGCGAAGAGCTGAACCAACCCGAGTTGCAATAGCAGACTGCATATGCTATCCTCCTTTGGACTTTCTTTGTCAAATACAAACTTCGTTTTTTTTTTTGTTTTTTTTTTGCACCTTTAATTCGCAAGTTCACCTCGCAGAAACAACATTGATCGTTGGCAGACATGTTCACTCTCTGTTTTGTTTGCTGTTGTGCTGTGCAAGTACTTGGACACCACTGAGTGTTCCGGTGCATTACATATGTCACGACCAAATACCAGCGATTGGTTAAACAAAAAAATACCCGCCTATCGTCGAGCGAATGAATCCTAATGGTGCGAGGTCAGATGGCTTCCATGAGGTGAAACCAGCTGATGAATCAGGCAACATTTGAGCAGATATCGGTACTAAAGAAGTAACATTGACAGAAATGCTTGAATTAACCTTTAGATTTTTTTTTTGATTTTGAAATGTATCAGACAAGTATAAGAACACACAGACTAGTATGCGCACATGGACCACAATAGAACCTACCTGGATGACTGAGAGACTAAACAGATATAAGACCACATGATAATATAAAAGAAAGTACTACAATTGTTTTTTATTATCTTTGTAGTATGGTGTTCATACAATAGGGTAACACAAATAGTTACTTTCCAACAGCCAACATGTGTAAAAGAAAAAAAAAAAGACAGCTACAGCTATTTCAGAAGCAAAAGCAAACTGTAAAAATAAATAAATAAATAAATAAATAAAGCCTAACATAATTGAATAAACATAACATAATTAACTAAACTCTGTAACACTGGACATGTTTCCGTTTGGACACGTGGTATTCCCAGACTCCATTATAAGTCCATATAAAAGCTTTTGCCGATGATTAACAGAGCCTTCTAACCCTCTTCATGTCCACACTGTTTACACTCCTCACCGGCACTTATCACTAAAACCGCCATTAAAGAGAGTGTATTTATTATTTTACTATAAAATATCATTAAGCCTCTGAGTGTTTAGAAATAATGGTTTGGAGGTGCACGCCAAAAATGTCATTGTGTTATAATACCAGGATATTAACAGGTGACGGCTGCTCTAGTGGGACGTGAATCATTTAAATATTATTATTAATAATAATAATGATGCATTTAATTTATTAAGGACCTTTTTACTGTTGTCACTTTACAGCAATAAACACATAAAAAGCATAGACAAAAGTAAAAACAAACAAATAAAAAACATACAGTTAAAAGCATTCGGTTAAAGTGGGACAGTGCACTGGTAGTGTGGTAGAGTGAATTTTATGTAATATCTGCAATTCTTGTTGAGAACAAAACATTTGTCATCATGTAACTAATATTGTGGCTTTGGTTCTTGTTTTTGTTTGCAATCAAATGGTCTTACCGTTTGGATACTGCCCTATTTCCTCTCATTCGGCTCCAGTCAAATCAAGCTCACCGAGGCCTGCA